CGGCTAGGCAAAAGGGAGCAAGGGGGAGCAAAGGCAAACACTGAATGTTATCCTTGAAAGAAATTTTGTTTAGAATGCTTATATATGAGATTGCACTGTTTTGGCCAACATCGAGCATGCGTCATCATAAATGATGGTGACAAGTTGACAGACTTTATAGCGATAACTTTGCATTGCCGATTACACCGTCGCTTTGAAATAAAGACAATGTCGACAATCCAAGAGTCTCAGTAAAATTACTAATAGGAAAAATATTTTCAAAATGTTGATGTTTATTTCAATCATCAATCACCGTGTTGTTTTAGGCTGCTGCTGGTCAAACGATTGCGACAACGACTACAGTAGGAGCCGCTTCTGCACCTCCTTCTACACCAGGTAATTACTTACGTTCATATGGCGGAGACAAAGATCTTGAGAAAAGTTCAAGTAAAACAAATGAACAGAGTGCAGTTTTAGGCCTCTGTTCTAGAGTAAAGGTCAGTAGCTAATGGCCGTTACTTGGAATGACGTGGTGACACTACCAACGTGTTGCTTTGACAGCAGCTCTCTTAGTACTGCCATACCTTAGATTACAAATGCTGTAGCATGGTCATAATTCGCATTTGCCAAAGACTGAAAATATCATAGGCAGCATCATGTAGGTTAAAATTGCCACCAGTATTAAATCACCCAATGTACTGTATGGTCCGGAAGGTCAACACGCGAATCAGGAAAAGAAGGACAATGCGCAGTGAGGAAGTGCAGTGACAAGTACGATGTCGACCAGTTGCCCCAAAAAATGAAACGGGGGGCGGGAAGCTTAGACAATTGTATGCTTCCTAACCTTGTTCCCCTTAAAGCAAACCGATCTTAGAAGCTCTCAGCAAAAAGGTGTGTGGAGCATGGCCAAGGATTTCGCGATATATGGTCCGTTATTCATCTAAGACCAAGGACAAGCCATATGATTTTGAAAATTGTATTTGAGACAGTTATTCACTTATCAACATACTTTGGAAGGTGAAGCTGTATTTACAAGGCTATTTATTATTGACACGAAGGTAAAGTTCGATATTGTTTCCTTCTGCATCTTCTATCGAAAATAATTTCTAAAAAATGTTGTTTACTGCAGCTTCAGTTGGGACTTCTTCACAAGCCGGAGTCACTGCTGCCACAGCCGGAGTCACAGGTGGTCAGTCGACGATCTCTGCCACGTGGGCAGCACCTTCAAGCGATTTTCAATGCCCCGGAAACGGATACTTCCCGCACCCAACGAACAGCAGCCTCTACTACCAGTGCGGAAATAAAATTGCCTATCTACGCTCGTGTTCGAACGGGTTGGTCTGGGACACCGCTAAGACAACGTGTAATTATCCGCAGTAAATTGGTTCTAAAGCGTACTGTCCGCATGTTTGTTGATCTTGCTTACATGCTGCAGGCTGCTTTGCGCATTTTGGTGCTTGGGATATATTTTAGGCGATTGATTTTTAGGATTCGGTTTTGATATTTTGTTTTTAAGTATGAATGAAACGAATTTTATAATGTAATGCACATTATTTTTTTTTACTTTTGCATACAACGTTCTACCGTATGAAAAGGCTCGTCGCCGCGAGTCAAGCACTGAAAGCCGTCAAGACATAAATAAACCTGTGCTACCGCTTCTTCCTCACAATAGTTGAAGGAAAAGAAAATTGTAGATGGACTTATCAAAAACAAACGTCTTTTATGTGCCAAATAAAGCATAGCTGTGCAGAGTACCATTTCTTAAAACGATACAATCACGATATTCTCAGAATGGTAGAGAGGGGCGACTGTTGCCTGCTGTTTGTTTGAGTGTCGACCGAGGATGATGACTTACACACAAAATTATAAGTGTTCTATGAAAAAAAAATCAATTCTGCATTCCACTGATTGTCGGTCCTTCAAATGTCTCACAGGCTAATTGTGAAAAGACAAATTTAATGAACAAACTGATAGAAGTTCTGGCTTTTACTGTCACATCCTGAGAAATGAATAAATGGTGGCTGAAGTACACTCCATTTCTATAGCAAAGGTACCGGGTCAATGTCAGACGTGAGATTATCAGGGAGTAAGGGGGGTCAGCCCGCTTTGAACCATGAACAATGCAATATGGAAGAGTTTACCAAAATAACTGAAAATCTAACCCTCCTCAGCTGCAAAGCAAAGTGACGTCGCATCAGTGTACAAAATGCACTGCATTGCTGGGAAAAAACAAGTAGAATAAGAGGAGGAATACGAAGAACGAACTGAATCTTTTGTGTTATCCTCCCCGTTCATCGAAAAAGAAAGTTTTATTATACAATGTATTTTCCAAAGCTTTATTGAGAATGCCCGACAGTTTCAAACTTGAGGCATTTCTATTCCTGTACATTTAAAGGGAGAATTTCATGATCTTGAAACATGGCAATGAACCTTGTTTAATCAGCAGCTGTTTGAATTAGGTGAGTGAAATGCATTCTGAATACCAGATATGGCAGAGCAGAATTTTCGACCATCAGAGAACTTAAAAAACTTCAACATACGGTAAGTCATGGCACAGGCATCAGGTAGCATGTCTCGCAGGCCCGGCAGCAGTGCTCCAATTGATAATTTGGTCCGAAATTATTCGCAGATCAATGACCTGGCATCCTATAGCAAAAATCACTCTACCATGAACAAATATGCAAAGAACAGCCATATCGATGCTGTAGCGTGAACTTCGTTTAAATTTGTCAATGTGAGAGATGTAACTAGTCAACAAATGTACTCGTACGAGACGAAATATCCTCAATAATAAGGTACGGGGAGGTCACTGGTGGTGAATCAGCCATCCTAACTAAGAATATCTCACATTTTAGAAAAGCGGGTCGCCGTGATGAAGTGACCCACTCAGCCACTACTGAACTGAGAAGACGGTATCTACCCTCCCTTCAGGATGCTGAACCCATCGGTGATCAGGCACAAGACGTCTACAGGAAGTAGCCCAGCGCGTCATCAAATGTGTTTTAATAAGCAGTTACTTAACTAAACCTGTTTCGCATTTAAAATACTGATATCGGATTTGAACTGCTAAAATGTACCGTGTGAAAGAAGAAAATTTAATCAAGATGAAACAACCCGAATATTCTGGGGCAACTTCTCAAAGTGGGAACTCTTTGTGCCAATGTTAATTATATGACATTAAAAATAATGATACTGGACTGAAAAGTGAAAAAATCTACACTGTAAAGAATGAACGATGTCCTTCTTACTTTACATTGACACTGCACTACTGTAAGACAGATGGAAGTGTAACTCTGAGTCTTACGACAGCAATATGCTGCATCCTTGTTTCTGGTCACTTGGGGGGATCATTCCGACAATGCAAGACTCCATGGCACTTACGCGCCAGCGGTGCATATGACACAAGACAGCGTGTTTGAATTGGAGGTGCTGACTCAGTACGTTTCCTAATATTGGCAAAAGGTTGGCTATGAAACAACTGTTATTGTACGAGGGGATGCTGTCCGCAAAATTCTTACACGGGAGGGGAAATAGGAATTCGACGCCTGAACCGTTCAATTCCTGAAACAGATGCTATGACTGATCTGATATCTTTTCAGAATGAACGATGCAGGTTGGGAAAGCCGTAGTACATAGAGTAGAGGAGCGTACTGTTGGACGACATACTCTGACAATGACTGTAACGAACGTTTGCTACGTCTTTAGGTCCTCCCACTTCAACGTGTTTGCAGGATTCAGGGAACCACGTCAAGGATCTGTTATTCCAGCCTGAAGGCTCATCCCTCGTATCGTGAAACAGCTCTGTCTGAACTTTTCAATGACAGCATCATTTTGTATGCCCTTGTTCAGTTTTATTCGTGATTCTCTGCCTTACTCATTCTTTTTGTAAGCCATAAGCGCTGGAGCGCAATTCTGTATTATGCCATAGATGAAGGAAAAGAAGTGAAAGAAAGTGGAGAATATAATGTGCTTCGGAATGGTGACTGCTGGTTAGGGAAAATAGGAGCGAAGGATGAAATGGTGAATTGGAATCGCCAGCGGCGTTCAGCACAGAATAGTCTGATCCGTTGTGAGTAAAACATAACTGAGTCTGAAGGGAAGGGCAAGCTAGTTTTAAGTTCCCGTTTTGAGTCGATCTTAATCTCTGATTATCATGAATGATGGGCTATGACCCAAAAATTTCGATCCCGGGCATAAGAGGCTGAAGTGGGCTTTCTGAGGCAAACCGCTGGCCTAACGCGTTTCGACATGGTCCAGGATTCAGATACCGGAGGAACCCTCGGTGTACGGCGCGCTGCTTTTTCAGACTGAGAAGTCATAGATGCGATGATTTGAGAACGTGATGTGGGTGCCTTCAGAAAGGTGAAAGCACTGCCACTTTGCTGACTGACCGGTCGAAGACCCCATGGATGGCAAGAACAACCATATCGAAAGACTCTGCTTCAGACTCAGGTCAGCCTCCGGCGAAGGTCAAACGTTGAGACAGGACGAAAACTTTGGTAACACTGTCTGAAGAATCTGCCTTCGCTAACGGAAAGGATAGACAGTCATCGAAACTGACTCACTAGCCATAGATGAAGTGCATTTAATTCTCGAATCCTGTTTGCTCTTCGAATTATCCTCATTTCACGCTGATTCTTGATAGTCTATCAAGAGGCTATTTCTCACGATCCAGTGTGATAAAAAAAAACTTTCGACCCATAACAGACTGATTTTTTACGTTTTAATAATTAGACGAAACTACCATACACAAGGCGTGCATCTGCTCGATGATTTAATATGATATACTGGTTCAAAGATTCTAGCAGGATCATTTCAACAGCCTTAATTAATGGCACCCTTACCGCAGGTGCTTCTGATTGCGTTCCTGTCAATGTGCTGAATGTGTTATGAATATGAAACTTTTATTTGTAAAATGAAGCATAAGAATAAACCTGTGCGCTACGCCCGACGCCGCAACATATAAGACAGATAAAACGATTTATGTACATTCTAAGATCAGACTGTGAACAACTTCAGGATCAGCACTGAACATTCTCCGGACGGTCACAGGCGGTTCTCAGCTCGTTGAAGAACAGTCCGTCAGGACAGCTGAATTTGTGCGCGATGCCGCCGTCGCAGTTGTAGAACGTCGCGCAGTCGGTCAGATCCCTGAAGTAGCCATCGGCAGGGCACAAGTACTTGTCCGGGCTTTCCTTTACGTCCGCCGTGTCTTTCGGCTCTGAGCTGGAGTCTTCGACTGCCACCAACTCTTTCGGAAGTTTCACCTTCAGCTCTTGTTCTTTCAGCACGCAGCTCGACTCCAAGTCGTTCACGCAGTACTTCAGAGTATCGTTAAACCGCAGGCCGTATGGACATTCAAAGTCGTACACTACGTGGTCAAGGCAGAGGACGAACTCCTGACACTGCCCTGCCTTTGACGTAAAACCGTCTGGCTTTTTCGCGCAGTAATCTAGCGGCGAATCAATCAATCAAACAATGCACTCGCATATAATCAACAGATCAATGAACAAGGGCAAAAGATGGACTGGTTGTTCTTGCAAACCTGGGTAAAGCAATTTAGTACCATAATGAAATCAAATGTTTGTAATTGCTTTACCCAAAAGAAATATCTTTCATAGAAGTTCTCAGGAAATCAAGACTCTGTGACAAAATTAAAGTTAATTAACTTACTGATTATTCCATTTAGATTATTTTTAGATAGCAGCAAAAAGGCACAAATTTGTAATAGCATTAATTTGCTCTTGACTAGAAATGCTAGAGAAGGCTGCCTCGATTATCTTGGAAAGTCGTATGTGATGTTAACAAATTAAATGATAGGTCAAACACAGTACTCGCAACCAGTATGAGACTTCTTCATAATTCGCACTAGCAAAATTCTGAATAACAGAACCACGAATATTGATTTTCTTTTAAAAATTTTTAAGTAAAAATAACGCTAAAATTTTATTACTGAAAGCAGTGTAAAAAACAGATTATTTTATACACGACGAAAAGAAGTGAAGGAGTGATTTACATCGTTTTTTATCACGTAAACCGTTCTGCAGCAAGTGGCACGTTTTGAGCCGAGAAGACGGAATTTCGCTAGCGGTCAATCACCAATTTGCTGTCTTTCGCACTGTAAATATAAGAGGCCCTTCTAAGCCTGCTTCTCGGTGTGAATATTTATATGTTTGTTTGTTGATACCATCCTCTTTATCAGTTTGCATAAGGGTGTCCAATTTTTACCACTTTTGCTATAAGACACAGGTTACTGTTATAAAAGAAATTGTTCTCAAATAACGGACATATCTCTACGTTGCTCCTCCAGGTTGCATACTGAACTGCCGGGCGATGTCTGAAATATTTGGTGTATGCACAACCATACAGGGATTATCTATGCTTCTTAATCTTTCCATAACTGGAAATCATCAGAATAGGATAGGGTATTAACCAGCGCAAGAACAAACATTCCGAATTTCTTTGCGGTAAGCTTTCATGATTAAAGTCAGAACAGCATGTGTTTACAACAATGTTAATGAAACGTACCTTCTGGTGTTTTCTCCATCTCCGGTGCCTAAAAGTCAGTTAATCAAAATGAGCAGATTTCAAAACATTCACTGATAAGGAAAATATTAAAAACGAATTTCAATGTTTTAAATATCTAACCTTCATATTTATTTTGAACCGAAGTTCAAAATTTTTCATTTGTGTTTCTATGCTTACATTTAGTTGGATCCTCTTTGCCCGAAAGCGTCAACAGTCTTCCTTAATTTCAAGCCAAAATATAACAACATTCAGTAAGAAGGAAGAATAAAAACAAATTAAATGTTCCTAAACTTGAAAATAAAACTTTGCCATCACAACCGAGAAATGGCACTACTTCAGAGAGCATACAACGTGGCGCAGTAAAGTTAGAGATGTGTGATCTTTTATTAGTACAGCAGCTGCTTCTTTCACACTACATCTCCTTAGTCGTTCATTGACATTCTGTTTCCAGAATAAAATGCCTCAGAAAGCCTTTCCAATGGTCTCAGTCGTCTACAAAGTGAATAAATGCCATGAGCTGGATTCTGACATGTGATAATGGCAATTCCTTTTTGTATAATCCTGCCGTCTGTCACGTTGCTTGTTCATAAACCGTCTTTACTGCGGCTCCGATACAAAGGCTCTCCTACGGATCTCTTCCTCTCACATTCACAAAATCATCGCAATTATGATCCAGCAATCCGAGAAATGAAATCGTCTACTCTATAAATGAGAATCACATCGCTTGTTTATAAATAGTTTTTCTAAAATCGATTAACAATCAGATATTTTACGGGTTTAATGATAATTGGAATGAAATAACGAAATAGCCTGAGTTTGCAATGAGTGACCTAAAAATCGAATAACTGCGCCATTGCCGGACCCAAACGTGGACGAGAAAGGAGGATGATTGAAGACCGTGACAAAGTCTCGGTAAAATTTAACCATCAGCCATTCATTTTACTACCGTTATCGAACATTCCACCGCTCTGGCAGTTGTCTGGGTAAAGAAGGGCCGCGAGGCTGTTGGGCATGGGACGGGCGGAGGGAAAGGCTGAGGCAGGCCGCGATATATTGGAAGTCACAGCTTACTCATCACCCTCTGACACACAGGGGGTGAAGCAGCACAACAACGGCTGATGAGGACCGAGGAAACGACGACAATGATACTAACAAGTAACGGGCACGTTACTCGCTTTGAACAGAGCAAGCTGATAGCGCGATGATATTATAACACGGCAGAAGAAGCTCGATGGGAACGTCAGGCCAGTGGGAGTTTACAGTCAGAAATTAGAATATGCTTTTACTCAGAGAAAAAAGCAGGAGACACTTGATGACGCTGCATGTATCAACACGACATAGATGGACACTCGTCAACGAAGAGCCAAAGTTCTGGAATTCTGAACCTCTACGGGAAGAAACAATTCTATTCGGGTGTCTATCACGGCGTGCGGGCAGTCTAGTGTTGGTGCTCTGGTAGAACTAAACCTAGGTGATAGAATCATAGGATGGAATCCAGACAGCGAAAGGGTGCCACCAACGGACTGATGAGCGGGGCTACTGTACCTCTTTTCAAGAAAGTACACAATAGGGAGTACTCCAATAATTAGGTACTAACTGATACAACCTCCTGGTTAAAGTGTACACAAACGTGCTACAAAAGAGGTGCCGTGGAATAACTCACTCCAAGATATAAGAGCAGTGTAGACTCTGGCCCGACCGAAGCACCTCGGACTATGTATTTGTACTGCGCCAGATTCTTCAGAAATTGTGGAAGTAAGCACGTCTGCTGTACATGTGTTTTGTTGACCTAGAAGAAGCCTATGACCGGATCCCACGCAAGAGTCTGTGGACATGCCTTCGTGCATACTCGATTGATGGCCAGCCACTAAGAGCCATCCAATCACTGTATTCTGATAGAAGGTGCTGCGTCAGAGTTAATGGCGTTAAGTCGAAGCCATTCAACGTTTGCACCGGTTTCCGCCAAGGCTGTGTCCTGTCCCCTATCCTGTTTGTGTTGTACATGGATAGAATAGTCAGGAGCTGCCA